AAACTCTACTGTCATCTTCGTGGTAGTGGATCGTTTGTCCAAGGCTGGCCATTTTGGGATGCTTCCCACTCAATTCACGGCTGTGAAAGTGGCAGAATTATTCAGTCACATGATCTGTCGTCTACATGGTATGCCTAAGAGCATAATTTCTGACAGGGATCCTATCTTCATGAGTAAATTTTGGCAAGAGCTGTTCGCATTAAGTGGCACTAAGTTGCGGATGTCCTCTGCCTATCACCCACAAAGTGATGGCCAAACAGAGGTGCTAAATCGAGTGTTGCAGCAGTATTTACGCGCTTATGTGCATGCTCAACCCAAGTTGTGGGGTCGCTATTTACATTGGGCTGAATGGTGTTATAACACTTCCGTTCACTCTGCCACAGGTTTTACTCCTTTTCAGATTGTATTTGGCCGTGAACCACCCTCACTGCCAAATTATGTTACCGGTTCCAGTCATATAGAAGCTGTTGATTCTGAATTGAGTACCCGAGAGGCTACCTTAGCTCAGTTAAAACAGAAACTGCTCCGCGCCCAAGCTGCTATGAAGTTGGCTGCTGATAAACATAGGCAAGATCACGCCTTCAAGCTGCATGACATGGTTCTGGTGCGACTTAGACCTTATAGACAACAGTCTGTGGCCCAACGTGTTAATCATAAGTTGGCAAAGAGATACTATGGTCCCTTCCAAATCATTAAATGCATTGGTCCGGTTGCTTTTCAATTAGACTTACCTCAGGGGTCTAAGATTCATCCGGTATTTCACGCTTCTCTTCTCAAGCCGTTTCATCATGATCCTCAGGTTATTCCTCTGCCATTACCTGCTACGGCTTTTTTGAATCAACCCATTGTCCAACCTTTGGCCATTTTGGACTCTACAACCGATCCTAGTACTGGTCAGAAAAGGGTTCTCATTCAGTGGGAGGGGTTGTACCCCGAAGACTCTACTTGGGAGCTGTTAGAGGATATTTTGAAGTCTTATCCATCCTTGCACCTTGAGGACAAGGTATTTGCTGAAGGGGAAGGGGATGTTATGCATGAGCTTGCTGTAGAAGAGGACCAAGGCCCAATGGATACTGATGTGAATTGGGATGAGGACACAATGGATCAATTACCAAGCCCAAAGGTTAGAATATCTAAGAGGAGTAAGGTAAGGCCTAAATGGTTAAGGGATTATCAGGAGTAATGTACATGCCGCAAGGGGAGCACATGGATCAAGGGCGTGTCGCTGATACCGTTAGGATTTAATTGCTGTTTTGCTATTTACATTCTGTTATATGAGTGAGTAAGTATCTGGTAGGGAATGGACAGTGTGCGTTCCTTTCTGTTATAGGTGAGAGAATATGGCTATATATACCTATGTATCTTACCTTGAATAAACAAGAAGAATTTGCATTTCCAGTATTTCTGGTTTAGGAGGAATTATCTCACCTCGAAGAGAGATAGCTTACTTTACCTTTGTTATCTGTTATTCTGATATAGCCTTAGTGCTATCAGTATATATTCATAGTTTTCTCCTCTTGTGCCTCCAAGGTGAACAGATCATCAGAAACAAACCCCAAGAAGCAGACGTTCATCATCTGAACGGTTATCCACACAACCATCTCATCCTCCTCGAGAGATAGTCTGGAAGATCTGCCACAGTCCAGCTTCAAGGAGGTTATTCGTGCTGCGGCGCTGAGGTGAGCTGTTCGTGAAGAGGAATCCTACAAGGGAAGATTCTACACGAGACCTGCGCACCGAGAGGTAATTGTGAAACAATGATGATTCAGTAAGCATACCAATGTACTAGGTCCTAAACCGCTTCCGCATAAATCTAAGATTTCCTACAATTTTAATCATATGATATTTTCATTTTTTTGCTGCAATGTTGATTCATGCGTTCTTAGGGCTTGTTTATACCTCTATCAGAGTTTTTCGACTAGGACGCTGCAACACGATTGACACACGTAGATACATACACAGTCAGCAAAAAGGAGCATGTATTATCTCTTCTCCTTTGTAGATTTAACCTCAGTGATTATAGGTCAAGAAGATGCATACAGTATTCTTCTACTGTTTCCACTAATCAGTCCTTTATCTCTAAGTACACTTGGGAGTTGATTTTTCGTCTTGCTTGGTATGTTACTGACCATTTATTATAATATTATGTTAATTTGTTTTTGTTTGATTGCATGTTCTCTGGAGTAGGAAACTAATACCCGTAAGGCCGTAACATTTTAACAGATTAAGTGCTTACAGGAGGATGGATGTAGATTGTAGAAATTGTGAAAATTATGTAATGCTATAAGATTGTAAAAAATTTTGAACCAATATTTTGTAAGCAATGCAACAGGACAGGCAGGGGAAATGGAAAGTACCAATAAAAAATAAAGGAACTTGTATTCTATGATAATATTTTTTATTGGAAAGTACCAATAAAAAATAAAGGAACTTGTATTCTATGATAATATTTTAATAAATTACAAAGTAACACTAATAAGTGTGTCTGCAGATTTCAATCAAACAATTGTAAGATTTGATTTTCTTTGGTTTCCATAGTGCGTATTGAGTAAATATCTAAATGGTATGCTGATAATTGAGACTTTAACAGGGCTAGCTTGTTTTGTAGCCATTTTTCTTTAGGATCCACATTTCCGTATGCATGTATTAGATGATTTATTTTTTTAAACTTATAAATATGAAAGAGAATAAAGTCTTGAAGAGGAAAACTTACATTAGTTGTTAAATTAATACTGCATAGTCTTTGGTGTGTGATAGCTATTCAGTTAGTACACATGATATTTTTTTCACTTTGTCTAAAATTATAATTCAGGCACTGCTAGAGGATGTGGTTGGCAGAAAATTGGTGCGTTTGTGAATCTGGGGTCATACTATTTAGTTCAGCTATTGTATTAGCCTTTATATTGCACATCTAATTTATGCTCTTTTTTTGTAATGTGCATATATGCATAGTTACTGTTGCATGATTACTACTATTTGTCAAATATGAGAATTGTAGTATTATACAGTCTTGAGAGTTGAAACTACCTTTTTATGGTGTGTGGGTTTGTAATGTCTCAGGATCTGCAAAGATTAAGATAGTGTTTGAGAAAACCACTGTGAAGACAACTGGGAATTTGGTTACTTCATGTAAACTCAGCTTTTTGCTAGGTTATAACTCAGCTTTTTGCTTCTATTTTCTGATTCTTCAAGTTCACTGAATTGTATCATTCGTTAACATTGTTATGAGTTTGCGCTTCTAATAATATTAGCATGAAAATGGTGGAGAAGTAGTGAATTTGAATTTTAACCTTAATGTTAAGCACTTATGTTTTCATCTATTAAAGCTTAATTTGATTTCTTAAACTTGCTTATGAATGCATTTATTGTTTTTTATTCATTTATTGATATTAATTTGCAGTGTAATTGTTGAAGCCCTGAAGGTGGATAGTCTGCAGAAACTTTGCTCATCACTGGAGTCTATTCTACGCAGAGTTGTAAGAAAATTCAGTTCATTGTGGTATTAATTCTTAATCTGATAATTTTTATTTTTTTTAATTGATTTGTTTGACTATATTACCTGAAGTTATCACTTGCATCTAGTGCTTGCCCTTTTTAATATGATTGATTCTGCAAATTTGAGGCCACTGCTGCTGTATACTTGGCCTCCATTCTTGAGTATCTGACAGCAGAATTTCTTGAACTTTTTGACAGTAATGCTGGGAATTTACATTGATAGCAATGCCTCCATTCTTGAATATTTACATTAACAGCAATGCTGGGAGTGCATGTAAATACTAGGATATATGGGTTTTTAATATTTGAGTTTGTAATATATTTGGGTATGTAAATCAGTGAGATTTATGTTTAACTTTGCGGAAACCTTGGAATGTATTACAACGGAGAATATATTAAATCTGGGTTTTTTTTTAAACAAAAAAATACATATTAAATTTTTGGAAGACCCATGGGCTAACCCTAACCCTTTAAAGGCTTTTGGCTCATGTGGACCTATATCATTGTGGACTTTTTGGCCTTGTGGGCTTTTTGACCCTAACTCACATGGGCTCTAAATACTTCAAGCCTTTGTTTCACTCTGCATTTTTGTCTTTGTTTCTCAAAAATAAATTTGTTAAAGTTTTTCCTCCCTGTATGCCTTCGCAATGTATCTTCTCATTTATCTCTTTCTTTTTGCTCCACCTCCATCTCTCAATTTTATTGCCTTTAATGACCAATATTAATCGTTTAAGCTTGTTGCTCATCCCCTTACATGTTGTCATGTTTTGGTTTTTATACGAAGGTCATTTATCCATGCCTCCTCTTTTCAGAAAACACATGGCTTTGGCATGAAAATTAATTCCTTCTTGCCGTATGCATTTGCTATTTAAAAAAATTAAATTATTAATACTATCATTATTTTTCTCCATTTATAACAAAGTTGAGCGAAGTCTATTTACAGTGCCTCTATTTACTTGTTTCTTATTAGATAATATGAAACATCATAATTGCCATAGTAAGGAGCAAATATAGATATGAATTCCTATTTTGGCAGGCACTACATGCAATAGTTCTTTTTTTTAATTCTTCAATTTCAATATTTTTTAATGAATTTAAAGGGTTTAACTTATGATACTAATGCACAATGAGCTGAGAAACCAAAGAATGCATGAAAAGAAAAATGAAACAAATTCACAAATTTGAAACCAAAATATGCATTTCCTGATTGGGAGTGTCTAAAATGGAATATCTACAAAGGAGGACAAATTATAAATGGAGTGGTAAAACTATTGTTTACAATCAAACTGTGTATGAAAGGAAAAGAAATATATGAAACCAACTAGATATAGGTTTACTATTGGATAAGAAAATGTTTGTAACCAACTGGATATTTATGAAATTAAAATTGGCAAACGAAATAGAAAACTTTTGTAATCAATTGGATATGGTTGGCAAACGAAATAGAGAAAGCTTATAGGGGAAAAAAGGGACAGGAAGAACAACAGAAACAATAAAATGCCTGAACAACTCCCAAAATCTAATTAAACACCCTTCATCCTTCTTGTTGAGAGATCTCATACAAACGATAGCTGGAAAACCCACTTGCCAAGTGAACTCGTGGTCATGGTATTGAATTACTGACAAAATGTTGTTTCGTCCAACCGCTGCGGCCTCCTTTCGCATTGCATCTTGTAAGGTCTCTTATGGTTGGAGAGTGAATCTTTTTATCTAGTGATATACGTTAACTAAAGAAAAACAACGTGGTTTATCCCTCCTTTTGCCAGATAATTCGAGCATATATATTGAGATTTAATTTATATCTCAAGAAAAAAAAAAAAACCACTTTAGTACAACAATTATTGCCACTTTACTTATAGATCACCTAATTCAACGAATAACTTAATCAAATACCAAAATGGATTTGTCCTTTACCGTCTAGGGGCTGGTATTTCAAAAAATAAAAATCTATTAAAAGAAGCAACAAAAGTGATACACCATCTACGGCGAGTATATTTCAAAGAATCAAACTACCTTTATAGAAGAAAAATTTTTAGATGAAAACTGAGAAGCAGCCATGAGAGCTCCAAAGCTACACATTTAATCATCCCAGAAATCAATTGAGTGATTTCAGGTGGAATATCTGGCATCTGGGAACATATGAACTCTTTGTTGAAGCCTGCTCAAACTTTTTAGCAGCAGCTTCATTCTCCTCTAAGTTTGTCTGAAGGAAAAACCGGACCCACCAGGATGAACTCCTCATCTTGGCCTGAAGCAAGAACAATCGGTTATTTTTCCCCCCTTTTTATATATAGAACAAAGAATTTAGTGTTTATCTTGTCGAAGGAGATATCTCTTGCAACCCAAAATGACGCAATTCTGACTTTTGGAAAAATAAAATAAAGGGCATTTTGGAAAAATTCATGTTGTAAGAGAAATAAAATTCCCAAAATACCACATATTTTTCATCAAAACAAGATCGTTTTGAGATTGTAATAGATAATTTTATCTCTTATTACAGAGAAACACTTAATAGGCAGGTGAAAATATCCTTTCCGTCAAAATGGTTTAGGGTGTCTAGAATCAAGGATCTTCTATTCGTCCAAGCTCTGTAATTTACATTGAAGCAACGACAAAAGAAAAAAGATAACATATTACTCTTCATGTAAAATCCACTCACCGCTCTTCCAAATTTAGAAACATCCGCTACCTTGGCCTTTTGATTAGTGGGAAAACCTTCATTTATAGATATTAACAGATGTCAGTGACAGGTCCAAAACATCATTGACTATTGCTAAGATAGTATTTTAAGCTCTGGCACAAACAGTACATTAAAAGCTCAAGCACCTAGTAACTCATCAAAATCACCACCAGAGAAAGTATATGATACTTTCAAGTCAAATAAGAGACTTATCAAGTTTATATATAGTTCACATAAGATCAAACACAGCAGTTTAAGAAGCACTTCTGCTCTACAAACAAATACCAGACTAGATGCTCAATTCTAATTCAACAACAACAACCAAGCTTGGATTCCACAACAGCTAGGTAAGGTCAACTACTTGAATCAAACAGCACATTTGAGATCTATCAAAAACTGAACTTAGCAGTTGAAAAAAAAAAATAAAAAAAAAAAATCCTTTTTAAGCTTGTGAAGCAAAGTAATTTGGAAATATATGTCCCATCTTCATTTCCCCATTTTGGGTTGTAACGTAACTGTAATAAACCTTACTGGTTTAATCCAACTTTCAGATTAAGGGAATCTCTTAGGATAGAAAAATGAATTTTATTCATAGATGGGAATCTGCGCTAATTTCAAGATTCAATAAAATGATCTTACCAGTAAATATCACTATACCCTCCGATGAAACCCTCACCAAATCTGGAAGAGTCTTGTTGAGGTATCTGGGAGATAAGTAATCCAGAGCATCTGAAACAATTACAAGAGAGAAAGATTTTGGCCTGTATGGAAGAGGAAACTTTATATCAGCCACACGCACACTGCCTCTACGGATAAGTGCTTTGCAATTACTATCAGCATCCTCAATATCATATGGTTCTATACCCCAGGCTTCGGTTTCCTCCTCCTTTAGCAATTTAGATACCACATAGCAAGTATCAGGACCAACATGCAAAACTTTATGCATGCTATCTCCATATGCTTTCTGTAAAATGGGAATTGCTCGTTGGACCTCTCCACTGCACAAATAATCACCTGCATATGGAAGTTGTGTATATTATTACAACAAATCTGGAAGCCAATCAATGCAAGCTAAATGCTACTAGATAAAGCTGATGAACCATGTCTGTACAAATGAACAAAATGTTGATGATAGAGAATCCTACTTAGTCACAGCTTTAAGCAACCCTTCCACTTGTCTGGAAGCTTTATGAAATGAGGGATTAACGTGTGATCCTCCAACCCATTATAGACCACAAAATGCCAATTCCAAAGAGGAGAAAGGATTCATGAAGTCTTGGCCATATAACAAAAAAAAATATATGAAAAACACTGCTCCCAAAAAATCGCATTTGATGCAGCAAGCTATCTAAAGTGCAGATCACCAAGGAGAAATCAATCATAGGCGACAAAGCTCGGGCATTTCACATATATGACACAACCTTGTATTGTTTTAAAGAACTTCTCCACCTATTATGGACTACTGGTTTGGGCTCTTAATATGGCTCACTCCCACTACAGAACAAAACATCCACATTACCAACATTATTACCAATAAGAGGGCGAGCCTGAAATAGTGCTAAAGCTGCTTCTTTAATGACTGAAAGGTTATGGGTTCGAATATGAAAAGTCACTTATTTGCAAATATGCAAAGGTAAGACTGCGTACAAAGATTCCCTCACCTCTACCTTCGCTAGTTCGGGGTTTAATGGGGAGTGATTTTTTTATCTCTATATAACCACCTTCCACTACTTGTATGTGTGCTTGTCCCCACAGTTCTCACTGCGCTAACTTGGAGTAACCGCTCATCAATTGCATTCCCTCAAGAATATTCCTCACAACCACCAATATATGCCACATTCACGCCCTAAGACAAGGATATTTGGCTTTTTGCACCCTCCACCTCTTGCAAACACTGGTTAGAATTACAAATACTCTACAGGTGAAACACCCCCTTCTTTCTGCAGTAATGCACAGGGGAGAACCCACAGAAACACCTTGACCGAATACTAGGAAGGCCAGGTTCAAACTACCACCCAATCACTCCACCTCAAACCATATAATAAATACTCAGTCCATTATCTTGGACTAAACACCGCCAACCTGAAGTAACCTTATTGGGTCATTAACTAGGAAAATAAAACAACATTTGAAGTTTTCCATATACGTTATAATCAATTAAAAACAAACAAAACAAAATGCTATGATATAATTATTGCATATCAAATAAAAAATCATAATATTTTAAAAGCCTCTAGAAATTGATAGTGAAACAAATCACAATTCAGAGAGAAAGAAAATTAAAATTACCTTCAACCCTGCTAACAGAATCTAAACGGCTGCCAAATCCACCTATAATAAATTAGGGATGGGAAATGGGGGAGAAAAAAAAAAAAAAAAAAGTAGCTTAGTCACTGCACTACACATGTAATATAAGAAAAGGTTACAAAATAGCACATCATATTACAAACCTGAGCCCCTGTACAAATAGGCAATGAGAAACAGACCTCCCTATAAAATTGCGAAAACCAAACCAAATTAGAATCTCCCCCAAAGAAAACACGGTATTGAAAAAACTGCTATCAATTACTATATGAATAGAATCAATGGCGAAATAAACTCCTACCACGACTACGAGCCCAACAGACAAAATTGGCGACGACGTTGATTTCGAAGAGGAAAACAATCCACCACCGCTTTCCCCGAATCTTCTAGAAGGATTCACCGGTCTCCTCGACATCACTTCCCGATAAAGTTATTCACGATCCCAAAGATGATGATATATATATGATATATATATCTATAATAAATTAATAATAATAATAATAATCTGCAAGATTAGAGATAGAAACGTGAATAAATCGAAACCAGCACAATATGAATACGAATCACATTGAAAGCTAGCCAGCTATAGACATAGGAGGAGGATAATCAGTTTTCGCAATTGAAGATACGGATCCACGCAATGTTGTACACTGAGAATGAGATGAGAATTACCAGTGAACAGTCCTACAGAACCTGCATTAATGCAAACGGTATTGAAGGTTAGACTTAGATCTGAATTTATGCGCGTCTTGTCCTGTCCTCAACGACACGAATAGAAGAGAGAGCTTAGTGTTCCCTCTGCTATACTTTGCCAACTAAAAAATGGAACGTAGTTTTGTCGGTTGGTACAATCCAACAGTGCCCAACCGATGATTAACAATGGGCCATACCTCACTGTATAATGGGCTCCCTTTGACCCAACTCTGGCCCAATATCATTCTTGCTGGCCCAATATGACACCCCAGCGCAGCTCGTTTAAAAGCTAAACCGGCTGCTGTGGTGCCACGTGCTGATTCAGATAACAATCGAACCGAACCGAAAACTTCCGGTTTTTTTTTATTTATTCGATCAATCAGGAAGCTATCTTATGCAAAGTGAAGAGAAAAAAATAGATGGCAGTTGCAAATAGGGAAAAGGAGAGAGAAGAAAAAGAGTTTTGGAGTTTGGGATTGATTGAGAAATTGAGAAGGAGAGACATGTGTTTGGATTGTGGAATGATTGGTGATTGGAATCATTGAATGCGATATTGATTTGAGTTTGATTTAGCAATGAAGGAAGAGGAAGGTGATCGGAACACAGAGAAAGCTCAAGATATCACGCTTTGGGGAGTTTTCCTCTTCGGTGTGATTGGCGCCACAATCACTACCTTCGCCGTGAGTTCTCCGCATTCCTTTTTCTTCAATTCGTTTCAAATTGTTCTTCAAAGCATCTGCAATTATGTTCCTAGTTTTTAATTCTTTATTACTATTATTATTATTGAACTACAAGCAATAGATGTGAACACGATTCATAGTGAAACTGATCATGCGTGCTATTATTGAACTCTTTGTAGCTGTCCAGGTCGCAGTCATCGTGGAAAGGAGGTAGTGGCAGTTCTTTCCGATCAGAAGAAGCATGGAAGAGGTACACTAAGCGATTTAATGAGGAGTACGAGGAAGAGTTGGAGAGAGTGGTGAGTTTTTTTTTGTTATGTACTTCTATACTTATTATATTATTATTTTTATGAAAATAGACATGGCCTGAATCACAATATTTTGTGAAGAAAACAAATTTTGCTGCAATTTTTATTTGTTGATTATAGTAAGCCACAGAGAGACTGGAACAATGATAAAGTAGCTCCTTTGTGATCGGAAGATCACCGGTTCAAATTCAGAAATAGTATCTTTACAAATATGCACGGTAAGGTTACGTGCAAAGATTGTCATTACCCTCGTCCTAGTTGGTATATGTTTAATGGGGAGTGGTTTATATATATATATTAAGCCACAATGACATGTAACTTTTAGCTTGCTGGGATGTTTAATTCGTTGGTTAATGACCGGTAGTTTGTCTTGAGCCTAGATAATTTTTTTATCTGCTCTTTGTAGGAACGAATAAGGCGAATGCAAAGTGTGTTTAACAGAGAAAGGAATAAGAATAAAAGGAGCTACGAGAGTTGGAGGGAAAATGGTCATGGTGCATATCATCAGCATTTTCAGAGAGATGATTGGTATTGGAAGGCTGAAGCATCCTTCCGAAACCAGCGGACCAATTATCGAGACACTCCAAGAGAAAGCGGAAACTATTCATTATCACATCACTACTCTGTTTTGGGTCTTGACAGGTACGCCCAGACATCTAGTATGTTATGTTATCCAGTGCCCTATACCAGCCGCAGTTATATTATATCACAATGCTGTAAAATACCATGTAGAATATATTCAACATTTTCAACTATTTATTGAAATTTACAAAGATTTAATTTTGATCCTATAAAGAATTTTACGCAATCACCAGACCAAATTGTTGCACTTGTTTCAAAATTTGTTAAAAGCTTCTATACATGTGAAAAAACTTAATTGCTGCTATGATCCAGCACTTTCTTGTTTGCTGATAGTTTATCAAAATTGAACTCTTCTAAATGCTTAATTTTAAGGGATTAATGTCTCTTATATTGTAGGAAATAATTTTATGTCCTACACACACATAAAAGTGGGTAGAGCCGATATGGGGTCATGTAAAGAGAAGAGAGAGAAAGAAAAAATATGGAGCCCACAAACTTTTATATATGTGTAGGAGATAAATTTATCTCCTACAACATGAGAAGCATTAAACCCGTATTTTAATCATATAATTCTTAAGGTAAAATATTTTTCATGTTCTGTATTAAAACAATAGCATTTAGGCATTCAAGTTGAAGCTTCACCTTTCTAATATCAGATACCGGCTTGTCTAAGATATGGTTTTGATAGAAAATACTGTTTTTTTTTACTTATTTAACTTGATAAAACACAATATAGCACAGTTCATATTATTAAAATATGAGAATCATTTTGAGAGGAAGAAAATGTCCGACAATAAGAATTTTTTAAGTGAAAATACTATATGATATATCTGGATTCTGGAGGATCAGTAAAGACATATCTCATTTGAAGCAGTATATGATTATGTGATTAGTATCAGAGAAGAATAAGAAAGAATTAAGAACAACAAATGAAAATCTCTGTATTAAAGGTGGTAGATTCAACTGAATGCTGCAAATTTGAGTACAAATCCTCGAATTAGAGGTGGAAAACTAAACTGGAAAGAGAAAAAAAAAGGCCGAACAGAAAAGTAGTTCAGAGCAATTAGAGAAGCTTTGATTTCTCTCAAACTCAATTCTACTCCCATCTATTTTCCATTGCTCCCCCCTTTCTCTATTTATTCCCACTTCATGCATGAAGTTGTTACACGTTGCTAACAGAAGCCTCCTTCACACATTGCATAATATTTCTTTCTAATAACCTTGTTGACTCAGTATTAGAGAATGATCCTCTGTATTCTGTACCTTTTCCTTTAGTTCCCCCTTATTGCTGGTGTCCTATCATTATGACCGAATGGTAAAGTATGTGATATCGGTATCTGTTGATAGCTGAAAGACCGTTGTTTGTAAATGGAAAACCATGCATAGATCATGTACCATCTGCATTAGAAGTGAGCATGCTTGTTCTGCATTCATGATTAGCCATTAAAGGTTCTTTTTCTTTATGGATCTCAGGTTTAGAACAACACCTTATACAGATGCTGAGATTAAGGTAATTTCTCTTTTTATCATTTCTCTTTGCATATTACTGAATGCTTTGCTAGCTGTATGGATTGTAATGCCCGGCCGCTTCAAGAATCAACGACTATCTCCACATACTAACACGAGACTTTTCAATGTGTTTTTTTCTCACTCGCACACTTCCTCCCAGGAGGTCACCCATCTCAGAATTGCCCCAAATCAAGCACGTTTAACTATGGAGTTCTTCCGTTTCGGGCTACCGAAAAGTAGATGCATCTTGTTAGTATAGGTAGTACCAATTAATTCTTATAAGCTATGCCAAACTGTGCAGTCTCATACCTGCACAGTCTTTGGAATCCCTCTCTTTTGGGTGTCGATTCAATTCATTCGTTCATGTAATCCCCCGCTGGAAGCCTGTCAGGATCCGCTCCTTGTCCATGCCCTTTCGCACCGGCGATCACTCCCCGCCCTCATCAGCGCTCGGGATATTACACGGATCACATTTGTATTTATAAAGAGAGAAATTTATGATGATAGTCTTTTATCTATTTTTCCTTTCAGCCTCTATCTTATGTAACATATGGCTATCATTGACCCTTTGATTGATATTATTTGATGGGTGGTAGGTTTAGCAGCATTCTCATTTCTTAAACAAATAGTTCCATATTCATTTTGTTGGAAATTAGTGAAATCATGTGAAAAATAATGTCATTATGATTTGTGCTCAAGTAAAATTATAAGACAGCCATAATTTGTCTTTACATTTGATCAACTATTTTGATTGGCTTCCATGTGTTCTATTATTTGTTCACCTTTATTTTTACATATGGTGTAGCTCTAGAGAATAATGGAGTTTATATCACATATTCAAAGTATAAATGATATGAATGATAGGGCAAGGGCAACAACTAGTCTGTAAGCTCATAAAGGTGTAACAGAAGATTTTTCTATAACAATAGATTTGCTGCAAGGGTCTACTTCAAGTCTATACCTTTTTATCTTGGTCTTGGACATACTTACTGTTTGATCCAAGAGGATCGATGATGTCCAATCAGAGGTTGGTAAGTCTATATCAGATCCGAATGCTAGCGTTTATGGAGGAGACATAGCTAAAGGTTACAAATCACTATGCACGAAGAGGAAAGGCGTATAGCCAAAGCATGAGGTGTGTGCACAATAACAGCTAAGAGTAATCGAACGTAAAGTACATACCTGATAGGCTTAACCCTCTTTAATAATGTGGGCTACCTGTAGATGTAGAGTCCTTCTGCTAGTGGGATTGTTGGTGAGGATAGGATAGATGACTTATCCTTTATCTTCTAGTGATAGGATAGCAACCTTGTTCTTATCTCTTTAGCTAGTCACTGTTAGGTTGTTGAGATATGGGCCCATAAGATGGGTCCATATTTCTTCGTTATGCCTTAATTTTATTTTATAATTTTTTGTTTACCTTTTTCGTAGACAGCATTTAGGACCAAGGCGTATAGCCAAAGCATGAGGGGTGTGTACAGTGACAGCTAAAAGTAATCGAGCGTAAAGTACATACCGGGTAGGCTTAACCCCCATTAATAATGTGGGTTACCTGTAGATGTAGAGTCCTTCTGGTAGTGGGATTGTCAGTGAGGATAAGATAGATGACTTACCCTTTATCTTCTAGTGATAGGATAGATGACTTACCCTTTATCTTCTAGTGATAGGATAGCAACCTTGTTCTTATCTCTTTAGTAAGTCACTGTTAGGTTTTGAGATATGGGCCCATAAGATAGATCCATAACACTTACTATGCATAAATTATTGCTTTTTTGTTATTTATATTTCTTTGTTATGCCTTAATTTTATTTTATAATTTTTTGTTTACCTCTTTCGTAGACAGCATTTAGGACCAAGGTGTATAGCCAAAGCCTGAGGTGTGTGCACAGTAACAGCTAAGAGTAGTCGAGCATAAAGTACATATCGGGTAGGCTTAACCCCTTTTAATAATATGGGTTACCTGTAGATGTGGAGTTCTTCTGGTAGTGGGATTGTCGGTGAGGATAGGATAGATGACTTATCCTTTATCTTCTAGTATAGGATAGCAACCTTGTTCTTATCTCTTTAGCTAGTCATTGTTAGGTTGTTGAGATATGGGCCCATAAGATGGGGCCATAACACTTACTATGCATAAATTATTGCTTTTTGTTATTTATATTTCTTTGTTATGCCTTAATTTTATTTTATAATTTTTTGTTTACCTCTTTCATAGACAGCATTTAGGACAAAGGCAAAGCAGTATCATCCTGACCAGAACCTGGATAATAGAGGTAGGTCTTGACTAGTAATCATTAAGATCTTGCAATCAAACCATCCCATTATTACTAACAGATTCATGGATGTAAAAATGTGGCAGTGGCTGCTGAGGCTAAATTCAAAGAAGTAATGTGTTCATACGAGGCCATACAACAGGAAAGAAAGAACCCGAATCTGTAATTGCCTAACTCTGCCCGACAATACTGGGACCTTGAAGGATGTGAGGTATTCAAAATAATCATCACAGTTCCTCATAACTTCATAAAATTATCATCCAGCTAAAATATGATTCTGCTGCCTGTAAATTTTGGGTAATTGTTACATAATAGGGGTGTTTTGTTATTAGGCTTTTATCCTTCAATGCATTGAATTTTTTATTTTTGGAAATTCGTAGAACTGATTCATATTTAATTAAATAGCATTCCAACCTGCTTGCCGAAAAAAAAAAAAATATAGCATTCCAACCAGACGTACGTGGCCTCTGTAATATGGTTTTAGTAGATTCCGGGGTGAAATTTTTACACAGTTAATTCATTTCCTGTACATAGTTGAGGCCCTTCTCGGAGAAATTTTTCTTTAAACTTAGATTACACAGCTTGACTAGGCAAACTCTTCTTCTTCTTTTTTGTATATATACAAAGAGACAAGAGGAAACGTTGCTTTGCAGCCTGGGTCCAAGCATAGAAAAATAAAATAAAATAAAAAATCTCTACAAAAATGCAATCAAACCTCCTCCTTATCAGCTCTCCAGTCTTTTTGCGCTGCTATTTGCCCTTTATACAAAGAGACAGGAGCGCCAACTAAGCAAGTAAGCGCCTAACCCGAGTAATAGACACACTCTGTCAGCACCTAGATAAAACTGATTCCACTTTATCTTTTTCTGAACGGTTCAGATTAGGGATGGCAAAAATGAGCCAACCCGTCGGGTTGGCTCGTAACCCGCACAAAACGAGCCGGGTTGGGTTGGCAAAAATGAGCTGCCAGCTCGATTTAGCCCGACCCGAGCTCAAACGAGCCAGCTCGCGGGTTGAACGAGCCAGCTCGCGGGTTACTTTTTTTTTTTTTTTTTTTTTTTTTTACAATGGACTTTACTGATGGATTCTCCACTGATGGACTTCTTTTATTTTTTATTTTTCGGCTTTACATACGTTTTATGGTTATCGTGAGTTAGAGTAATTCAAAAAATCATGATAAATGACTCTTGTGATTCGTGGAGTGGTTTGTGTTTCATTTAATGTTTTTGGATTTTGTAAACTACTCTACTTGTAGTTGGACTGCAAAATACAATAATTTTATACAGGAAAACAAACCACAAAAATTAAATTTTTTGAGCCAACCCGCTAGCCAATATTTTGAGCTAACCAACCCGCGAGCCAACCCACTAGCATCATTTCGAGCTAACTCGCGAGCTTTTTTTGAGCCAACCCGTGAGCTTTTTTACGAGCCAACCCGCGAGCTGATTATCGAGCCAACCCGCGAGCCAACCCTAACCCGGCTCGGGTCGAGCCGGGTTGGATTTTCTGGCTCGTTTTTTTTTTCGAGCCAACCCGACCCGACCCATTTTTTTTCGGGCTGAATGCGGGTTGGGCCGGGTCGAGCCGGGTTGGCCCGTTTTGCCAACCCTAGTTCAGATAAGCCATACCTTTCGGACTAATATGACCCAATCATTATCTTATGTTAGAAGTCAGGTTTTACACTAAGCAGTGTGTTTATTTCTAGGGTTTTGGAGTTTTAGCATGAGACCAACTACCTCATACCATCCGAAAGTATTTTTATATTCAATCAAGTGACGTAATTAGATTCCTTAATACAGCTTAGGAGATAGAAGGGGCAGAAAATGAAATATTTGTCATACGTAAAAGAAAAATGCATGTTTTCCTGGTAAATTCTTCTAAGTGTGCCTTTTTTCCCGTAGGCCAACATTACTTTATATAGTTGTAATGTGGTACGACTCAGACTTATGAGGAAAGCCTAACACAAAAGATTAGCCTATTGTGGGATAGTTTTATGGCCTAAGTACTACATTGAGTTTCATGGCTGAAGGGTCCAATTACGTTGAGCTTTTCAATTTACCCAATGTGGAACGTAAACGTAATCCATGCATAAATTGTTTGAAGGATTACACACACGTTGGATCCGATAAAAAATCAAATTCAAACGGATCAATTCTATTTGGGTTTCTTGCATGATATGAGAAATGCTCTAAACAAGCAACTTGGGAAACCAGCAAATTCTATTTGGGTTATGTGGGTTGATTATGCCCAAAAATTGAAACCAAAGTGCAACCGTTCCAACTCCTTACTTGGCCATCAATCACCAATCATCTTCAGTCACACCACTGCAAACCACCTCTATCGCTAAAACCCACGGGAGCACCCACAATCACAATCACTTGCAAATTTATCGGGTTCTTGGCAATTCTTGTCCCATCAATGGCACTCGCAGTTGCAGTAGAAACCACTTGATCTCGTCTGTCAACAGCTCCGACAATGGTGGAATCTCTCCATTGACATCAGCGTGTCGAATTTTCAAAACTTCAGACCCACCCAAATCAATTTTGGTTTGGTCAGCACTCCTAGTTAACTTGAACCATTACCCACATAAGAGATCGACTGTGTATGCCTTCAAAAGGGACAAGCATTCAGACCCTATTGCCTTCCCATAAGAGGATCCTCGTTTAGTTTAAGTGGCGATAGTATATGATAATTTCGTAAACTTTTTTACACATTTTACTCAAGTTTTGTAATCAAGCTTTTTAGATATTACCAAAGCATATGGTTAAATGATAACACACATATATATATATATAAAAGAACAGTGTTATTTAATATTTAATACGAAAAAAACTCGCAAAACTTATACGAACTACGTGGCCAGTGACAACATCAAAAACATAGTAGTTGACTTTAGAACATGCCGTTTGCAGGGAATTATAGTATGTATCATCAGTTATCAGCGATCATATTATTTGTAAGTGTTTCGTAAAAAGTTTCTATGCCGTTCAACACTTTGCTATATATAATTTTTTTTTGTAAATTGCTATATATAATTTTTGGGATATAAGTTATTCTACCTATCATTTTTTCTTTCTACCTTTGTCTACCACTCTAAAAAAATTATTAGATTAGAATCTTAATTAATATTTGTCTATCTCTCTCCTATTTAGATTCTGATCTAACGGTATTAAAGAGTGGTAGACAAAAGTAAGCAGAAAGTAGAAAACCTATCCCATAATTCTTACAATGACAAGTAAAATTAAACTCATTTTGCTAAATGCTATTTACGTAGTTTGAGTGGGCAGTGACGTACTGTGGATGGTAATTTGATTTAAGATTTTTAATTTCTAATATAGGGAATGAGAAAGGAAAAGAAAAAAAAAAAAGATATCATACATACACTTTTGAGATTTGATCAGTTACAAACTAAAAAGAACACGCACCAAAGAAGCCAAAATCTTTACAGATCTATTTATTGGAGCATCAACCTTCCCTAAAATTCCGAAGAATAAAGGATAAAGCTAGCCCATGTTAGAGCACCATAATTTTTCAAAATGTACTCACTGATACTCACTTTTCTGCAGCTGGGGGAGTTCTGTAATAAGCCGGAACTGTTGCAGGGAAAAACATCTGACGAATCCCTTCTGCCTTAATTATGGGCAAAATGATTCCAGATGCACCCTAAGAAGAAAATTTTGGTTTTGCGGAGTTAATTTTCCTGCTATTTATTCTGGCGCCAAAAAATGAATTAAAAAATAATAATGATACTTACAGAAATTAATCGGGCTCCAGCCCATATCCGCTTAGGCGAAGGAAACGGTAATAGTAAGCGGCCAACACCATATATTGCGACAGCAAAGAAATGGAGAACCAAACTCAAGGGACGAGGGTTTAATCCTGAAAGTAAAGATACTGGTCCTTCCGAGAATAGACCTCCAAGGCTCAGATAATCAAAACAAGCTTGGCGCATTTCCTTCTTTGCCGGATCAGGGGATGCACAAAAAACCTTGTAAAGGGCTCCTGCCAATGTATTTATGGTAGATGCCACAGGCTGCGAATTGAAAGACTAACATTAGCTTATCAAGCTTTAATGAGTTGAGTAGAGTCTGGATTATTGCATCGAGCATTCTGCTCCGTCTTAGATTAAAAATTAGATAAATAGGCAAAGCTACAATGCTTATCTATTGCGTTAGCAATTTAAGCCCCCCCAAAAAAAAAACAAATAACATTACCTTACGCAAAGTATAAAAGGACTCAAGGTATTTGCAAAGTGTAGGGGCATCATTTAGGTCACGCAAAGGCCTGAGAAGATTTCTCAGCACCACAATATCAGACAATGCTACAGTCATTCCGCCCCCCGTAAGTGGATGCCGCATGTTGAATGCATCTCCCATTAGAAGGGCTCCAGGTGTAGGATGAGGATCTGCTGGCATGCTCCTGTTCGGCATTGTCCTTATCTTGCCTTTGTCCACTGCAGCTATAAACGCATCATAAAGCTCAGGGGGAACCTGCAATAATTTGCCACGTCATCATCATTAACTGTGAATTTCCAACAAAATTCTATGCTGAATGAAGGAAGGGTAATCACATGCAAGGTTAAAAAAGAATTTGTAGAATTTCGAGCATGAATGGGGGTACCTGTGGAGCCACGGCTGTCTTCAAATACTTTTCCATTTCACCGCTTGAAATAGAAGGAACCTTCTGACCAGGTACGTCTACCAGACAGCGAACCTCTGTACTACTTATAGGATAGAACAGAATTGGCGAAGGATCTCCCAGTATGACGTGGCCATGATTTGCACATGGAAGTTTACAGTTCTCTAAAACTAAGCCAACAAAACAAGAGGGAATTTCTACCTGCAAATGAAATATTTTAAAATATTAATAATCCAGAATTCTACAGACTGGTCTTTCTTACAAGTACGACGAAGAGCCCTTAGTAAAAAAAAAAACTCTGAATGGGCTGGTTTTGTAAACCAGAAAAACAGCTCTGAATGAATTATAGCAAAGTGTTTATTTAGTATAGTTGTCGGTTATTCCATGGGAAGAAGTTGAACAAATTGATCGGGGAAACTCCTTCACAGAATTAAGCAGAAAGGAATTCTCACCTTAGGATTACAAAGAGAACGACGTAAGTTTGAGAAACAGCCATCACAAACAATAGTAAGAGGAGCATATGCGGTCAATTCCTGACCATCTTTTGTCTTGTATTGCACACCTTTAATTGTCCCCTTCTCTTCAAGTAGGGAAGTGACTGTTCCTTGGTCCAGTTGTACACTGCAGAATATTTAAAAAGAAAAAACATCATGTAAATATGAGTTACCAAGAAAATACCTTTAGCTCAATTGAAGAACGAAAATTACATTTCTCAAATATCATTTCTGATTGTATTACGACAATTTATATATATTTGTTGTCCTTGTGATGATATGAGAAAATACTAGGTTTCAGAACCTAATAGCATAATAATTTTCAACCGAATTACTTTGGTTCAAGAAACATGATTAACATCTATAACCAAATCAACTGAAATTGCATCTATGTGAAACATAGAAAACGAGGTTAAATTTTACATTTACTAAAAACACTAAATCCTAAATGTAGAACAATAGGAAGTTGCAACCATGTAGCAAGTCAATCTCTACATTTGACAAACAAGAAGTAGTAAAGGAAGGATACACAAGCATAATTATACATCTACAAAGGAAGAAATCAATACTTGGGAAGGGAGGCAGTCTTCTCCCGCATCCTTTGAATAAAACGCCCATTGTGAAAGCTTCTGCCAGAGACATCTGAGTGAAACTTCTCCAAGGGATAAGAGAGACGGGTATGTTTCCCATCTTTGAAAAGAGCATAACCAAACACTTGCTGAGCATCAATTTTCTCAACGCAATCTGCAGTTAAACACAAGACAGGTCATTTGGCAAGGATGCTTTACTCTAACCAGAGTTAAATGGACGAAATTCCTTATGAGTATTTCCAGCACTTATGATAACCATATTCTAGAAGAACATTAAACGAAGGTTAAAATTTACACTACCTTCAAGTCCCAGCTCAATTAATTTGAGATAGCCCCCAGGCTGTAGTAACTCTCCAACAATTCGGTCAGGCTCAGTGAGATCTCTTTCAATGACATGTACTCGACGTCCATCCTATAATACAAAATATTTATATAGTCAATACTCATCTGTGTACAAGAAAAGAGTACCCAACCTCAATAGACCACACAATTCGTAAGAGTTAAAAACTCCCAAAAAAAATGTATGCCCTGAATCCCACTAATAAACAACACAACGCCAACAAGATAAGCTACTGGGAATATATATGATCAATCTAGGAAAGGTGAGGGCGGTGTAACCCAGAATAAAGTTCGATTCTCTTATATGGTCTTATAGCAGACAATATAATTGAAGAGTATGACGAAAACAACCAAGCCAGATACGTTAAGAATGTTAACAGAATCGTCAAGTCAATATAATGAATTCCCAAAAACTGAGATCTGCAGCCATCGTAAAATAAAGTGATAGTAAAAACCACAATCCCATGAGATTTGCAATCGTAGAAACAAGTAAACTGCCCCTAAAATCGATATATATTCAACTGAAACTATTCATTTGTTGCTTTCTGCAGGTACCTATTCTCACACCATGGGAGATATTAGGCTGCACCTTGATATTAAACGAAATAAAATTTCACGCTTCAATTGTTGACTTCCTATCCTTCAATATATACTTAAAAAAAAGAATTAAAAAGTATTTAACATATTGTTCATTCTAAATCAGACATGTTACATATTAAGCTGCTTAGAAGAGAAAAACTCAAACTCCAGGTGCAAAACTATCAAATTGTTCAATTACATAACCACACTAAGCACGTGATCAACGCCAACAGCGAATTGTAATGTAGCCATTTCTATTCAACACGGATAGATAGAAGCAGAATATGTTTTATTTTCATCGGTGAAATAACTCTTTCCATAACGTTTTCCTCTCAAATAAATTCAAATTATCCAAAAAAAATAAACACAAGAATAGCGATAACCAATAAATTTTGCGACATGGCGCAGCAACTTTCTGTAATAACAACTAGTCTTCTCATCATTTCGAAAGGCTTAGACAGATAAAAACAAAGCCATATTCATTATCAAGAACCACATGCAAGAGGAACGCATCAACAACGAAACAGGCGGTTAATTTAAGATACCTTGCCGAGAGTGTGTGCCAGAGCGGAGCCAGCGACACCGGCTCCGACAATGATGACGTCCGCGTCACCGTTACTCGCCGATCTGCATTCTCCGGCGGTAGTAGTTACGTTTTCCGAGCACGGAGTCTCCTTCTCCGGCGAAGCGCGACGGCTCTTTCCGGAGAAAACCAAACTGTACAGCGCGCAGAGACTCAAAACGGAGGATATAATCCAACCGAGCACATACGGATCCATCATTTTGGAATGCAAGTCGGACGAACCTCGCCGGAGAAGAGAGACGGCAACGGCGACGAAGGAAGAGGTGTTCGTTCTCTCGCCCTAGTTTCTCTCTCTGCTTCGCTGGCAGATTATTTTGAACGGTTTCTGTTGCTGTAACAGAAATCGAGAGAATTTGAAGGTGAAGATGCGCATTTTATAGGACACGCGAAACGCGAGGCTCGTTGTTTAGGCGGCCACGAGCGCATCACATTAGCTATGTCCGAACAAGAAAAACAAATTAAAAAATACAATATACAAAATAAAAGGCTTCTATATATCAAAAAATATAAATAAAATAAAAAATAAAAGGCTTCACGCTAATTTGCGCCGCGTGGATGTTGGATGATGGACGCAACTCCCGTGTTGCTTTGACTCCTTTCCTTCCTATTTTTCAAATTTTCAATGAATAACAATATTCCTCGCTTACCTAAGCTGAAAACTACTAGAGCGGCTGGAAAATAAGATAAAAAGTTCAGGAAAAACATTTCTACAGTTGTTATAAAAATATTTATTTGTCACATATTTTGTATTTTTTGGAATTTACAAACAAATTTTTTTACACAAATTGTACTGTAAGGGTTCACTTTTTTTTTTTTTGGGAGGCCTACTCCTTCTTTTCTGAAAGTGGCAAACAAAAGTTAAACCCTTCCAGTAATGGCTAAATTGAGATTGGTTGGATCGTGTTCTGTCTTTTTTTAAATTATTTTTTAGAATAATTAATGAAATAAATATTTTTTTTATTTTAAAAGTTAAAACACAAAATAAGAACAACTCAAATATATTTTTTAAATTTGATTCTAAAAATTAAAAGATAATTATAATTTTTAAAACTAGTTTTTACAAAACAAACTTTTTTAAACAAGTCTTTTTTTTTTAATCAATTTTTTTTTTTAAAAGAAAAAAAACAGAATTCAGATGTGCCCTTGTTCTTTATTTTCATTTTTGCAAATAGAGCATAAGTTATTTAAGGGGAAATCAAAATTTACTCTATGAGGATTTCCTCATATGAGATTTTGGGAAAGACAATCAAAATAACTTTTTATACATTTAAAAAAAGGATTTTATGAATATAATACCGTTTCTTGTACCATGTTATAAACACCTAAATATTGTGGGTTCCACTCCATAGAAAAAGAAAAAAAAATTGAAGTGAGTCACACATCTTTTTAAGTGAGTAGTAAAAAAAATATGTCATATAACATGACATTTCTATTTCTCTAAAAAAAATCATAATTTCATATATCTTTAGAAAATGAATATTATTTATGATTATTGGTCACTTGATACAATAAAGGATCATTCAATAACAAGAAACTGAATTCACAAGCTTCTTCTTAATTAACGTTAGTCTTTATGCATCTAATTTAGATCTTATTTATAAATGTTAAATACCCTATCGAAATAAATAATTACTGAAACAAAAAACAATAGTCATTGACAGGATTTTTTCCTAAAATTATGCATTTGATATACAATTTCTTTTGTATATATTTGATATACAATTTTATTTACAACTATTAATTACTTTATAAAAACGAATTACTTACACCCTAAGAAGCGATAAAAATTCGTAACTTTCTTTATGAAATTTTTTTTGGTCTAAGAACTAAATTCAATTATCATTTTTAAATAAATGTTATTTTTTAATAATTCGAACTCTTTATATCTCTTAATCTTTTTAAGCACTACGTTTTTTTTTTTTGTTTTTTTTTTTGTCTTTTTTAGATTTATTTTTCTGAAGTACATTATATTGTTAGTTATTATCTTTTGTGAATGTACTTTTCAACCGTATATCAAAATGGGAATGAATCCTTTCACATTCATAATATTAATGAGTAAGAGAGACCTTAAAATACGGGGTTGCATCAATATCTTGGCCAAATTTGGTTGACCCGTGATTTCTGAGTGCAAAGCATGCCTTGTTTTCTATTTTTTTTTTCCCTGCGCTTAGACTTGTTAGTTGTTAGATTTATTAATTAATAAGCAGTAAACGGATTGCGAAGCAAAACAAAGGGTAGCAAATCAAGGGGCTGCATATTCCTCCAAAAAATAAAAAATAAAGGGATTGTGGCACTGAATACATGGAGATAATGTATTCAAAATAATGCTGGATGCTTACAAGCACTAAGCACACCATCTTTTGTTTTACAGAAAAGAGGTTACATCATTCATGCAACTATATTATTTTAGATAGACCTGGTCTAATTTTATTTTATTTTTTTCTTCTAAAATAGGAGTAAGGCCTCTAATTATATAGAATTGAATGTTAGTCAACATATAAGAAGTATAAGCATAAAAGAAGAATTAGCGAAAAATAATAATGTTATGGTGGAGGTATGGAATTATATAATAAAAAAATAAAAATATTCGACAAAGTTTAGTAGTAGTATTAGTAGTTAAAAAAAATGAAAGAACATAGCTAAAGATGGTTTGACCACATTTTTTGAAGACTGATATTTTGTAAGAATAGAAATTTGTTATTAAAAGCATAACACAGAGAGGAAGAGAATGGTAAAATCTTACTTGAAAAAGAGTAGTAAAATAAAACTTAATTAAAAAAGTAAGAAATAAATTAGAGTACTGTTTATCTTAAAATGGAATAGAAGAAAGGTATTATAGTTATAGAGAATGGACTTGTCACTTTTATATTCCAGATAACTCTTTTTATTCTTTTATTTATTTATTTTCCCCTAAGTTTTTTTACTTTTTTTTTTGCATTTATCAACGGTAGACCCAATCAATTTATTTGGTATAAAGATGATGTTACTGTTGATTTTTTATTATTTAATATTTTTTAACATAATAACAGTTAGATGGCTAATCACATTGTTTATAACTCTAAATCATATTTCATGTTGATAAAGTTGACTTAATTAGTGGGATTTTAAAGTTCAAATTGCGAGCTATTTATTTTAGTAAGTCACTTGTAAATGACATTAAATATTTATATATGATATATATTATTTTTTAAACTTATAATTAAAGTTAATTATCAAAATTGTTTCTTCATTGAAGTTATATTTTTTTATTCTATCTTTTTATTAGCGGTACTGTTTCTATTCTCTCTCTTTTTTTGGTAATCTCTATTCTCTTTCTTTAATAAAATAGATTGTTTAGTTAATTTCCAAAAATAAAATAGATTTTTTATACTTATTAAAATAAAAGAAAATAAATTATTAGAGGTTGTTTATAAGTTTTTTTGGATAAGATTATTTTAAAACAAGTTTATCTCTAAAGTTAACATATAAATATATAAAACTTTTATTTTAAGGTGAGCTTTTTCAATTCTTTACTCCCTCTATTAATCGTTTTTATTAAATAACGCAAGATATATAATAAGTAAATAGTTATACGTGATTGTACATTATTAAATGATAAAAGTATACTAATAAGATAATAACTGTACTTGATATATACTTTTAAAATTAAGGAAAAGCGTTTATCATTTTAAAGTATGGACTTTACATCTCTCATTTAACATAAGATTATAAAATCTCTTACGCACACATAATTTTATGGGTTCCACCATTTACAAAAAATAAAAAATAAAAAAAATATTAATCTCTCCTGAAACTGTTTTCCGTTAAAGTATATAAGCTTTTGTCAAGTGAAATTATAGTATTTTGATAAATTTTTATATTCTCTTTCTTTTATAATACTTTCGCTTTATTTTTTCTCTTAATTTCGTAGAGGAGAGAGACTACAAAAAAGGAAAAGTATTTATTATTTTTTTATACATAAGTATTTATCATTTTAAAGAACACAAGTTTATGTTATTTTAAGTTAAATTACTTTGTTTTGTTTACCAAAAAAAAATACTTTTTTTTGATATTTTTTTATCTTTTCTTTATTTACAATACTCTTACTTTATCTCTTCTCCTAATTTTGTGGAGTAGAGAATATAAAAAATCACTAAATATACATCAGAACACAATAATTTTACTTAAAATAGCAAAATTTGTGTTCTTTACAATGACAAATATTTTTCTCTTAAAATTATCACTAAATTTATATATGCTTATACAAAATGATCATATAAAAAATTTATATATCTATTACTAAAACCATCTGCTTAACTCAAATAAAAAAAATCTATTTAGTATCACCCTTTTAATTTATGTTTTAAATTTAACATATTTCATCCAACTTTAGAATTGAATTTATTTTTTGTGGACCTTTTGGTATAATAATAGAAGAAAAAAACCTACGTAACAGAAAGTGTGCCCATATACATATATATATGATCCTATTATAAAATGAGTTTATTTTTAAAGTGATTAACGAGGAATACCCTTGATCTGGATAAAATACAATAAGCTCTCAAAGGGTTAAGACCCAAAGATCAAAGCTCAAACACATAGGGCCCATGAAATGCGCGATATCTCCATAGTACATAAAGAAATCAAGGGACGCAATGGCCTTATTGCGCCTAAATCACCTAAGACATGACTTCAGAACCAAGGAAGAAGTCTGTAACACAGCAGGGAACCGCCACGCCATGAGCTAATACACTAAAGACAACTTCAGCTTGCCACCATGCACTCTACAATGGTAGCTTGACATATATAGAGATATAGTCAGAAAGGCACCAGTTGATAACAGATAAACTTACAGCCCATAAACGGCCAATCAAAGGACATACTGCCTACCAAGGCGGCATTAGATTTACTATATAAACAAAGGGAACACACTCAGGTACAATAATCTAATTCCAGTAAGAATACATCATTAGCCTAGCTTTGATAGTGTTGGAATTAATGAATGAATTAATGTACAATGATCCATTGGTTATGAATAAGAAGTGGGTTAATAAAGAAAAGAGAAAAAGGGAAGATGAAGAGGTGTGTGGGTTTCAACAAGTCCCACATTGGACAATTAGTAGGAAATGGGAGAGTATATAAGCTCCCACTTCCCTCTCTTAGATTGGCCCTTGGGTCACTACATGTTTTATGTAGGGGGGAGAGCTAGGTGACGCGCGC